ATTAAAAAATCAACAACACACAGACAGGCTATCAACGTGACCTAAACGAATTTATCGATATTCTAAAACGTAACTCAATCCCCTTGCATTTCATAAACCAAGTAATAAAAATATGTAAGAAAGTCACTAACTCTAACACAACTAACAATGAACAAGACCACACACAAGCCAAACCCAAATTCATTATTTCAAGCTACCTTACATTGGCCACTATTCACAAATCACAAAACGAACACTACATAATCTGGTCAGACATTACTGCACAAACTTAAACATAAAACTAGTACTCTCCTCTTTTAAAATCAAAAACTTCTTCCACTTCAAAGACCCCATCCCTTTTCTCCCAAAATCCAAAGGGGTTTACGAATTGTCTTGTGCAGGATGTAATTACCGCTACATTGGCGAAACCAGCAACAGCCTCTCCACACGGATTAAAGAGCATACCACTTCTGATAAAAACTCACAGATATTCAGACACCTCTTCTCATTATCTAACTCCAAATCTAAATACCCACTGTCTTGCTTTCATATATTAGACAGTGCACGCACTCCTTCCTCTTTAAAACTAAAAGAAGCATTGTACATAAAAAGAACTTAAGCCTATTTATGCGACGAATTTTAGTCCCCCTTTTTTACTAGCTAAATTTAAAGTTTGAACTATTTGATGGAATATGACATGTCGATGGACTTAAACAGATAAATATAAGCTCATTAATTTTGCTTCTGAAGTTGGGTACTATTTGCTAACTTTTTACGACACATATTGAAACTTGTGACGTAATAGTTGAACACGCTTGTTTCCGTCAATATAATATTATATCATCGTAGATGATTTTATGTCGATTTTCTTGTTTTACAAACAAATAAATACACATATTTCGATAAAAAACAACAAAGCTAACAAGAAAAAGTATTCTGAAGACTTATGGCTTCAAACCATTGCTCAGAGAATTTGCAATCGATGTCTGAATCTGTTTATGATTCGAGCTCGAAATCCTTGGGTTGTGTCGGAGCAATCAAATAACTTTGCGTACGACGATGCACCGCTTGCTGAAACTGGTGATGAGTTACGCACTCCAAACGATCCTGATGGAATTCTGCCTTCAACATTAGAGGAACGTAACGGTATAATTCCACTCAATGAATGGTAAGTTGTTGTTTTTCTCATATGCTGCATTACTTCCTGTTTTCTCCCATTTATAAAATACCTAAAGTCAATTTACAACTCACAATGCTACGACGTGTTATGTGTAATTGTCAATGCTGTCATATTGAATTGTTAGAAAGAACATTACAGTACAGGTGTTGTAAAGAAATGGGAACAGTTTTACAGAAAATGAGTTTCAATAGCAGCATTGAGAAAATATTGTGCATTGCACAACATGCAGAACTGAGCTTTTACCCCACGAGGCTGTTCTTAAAAACCTAGGGCCACTGTTGAGAGACAGAAATGAACGTGTAAGATAGTAAGATTGTTCAAGAATTTTCTTATTAACAGTGTTCCATCAACAATAATTTGTCAAACCTCAATTACCTCAGGTACTTGAGGTTGAGAGCTGTGGCATGAAATGGTTGATGCCATGGTTTTGTGGATCTATGAGAGGGGAGAACAGTCGGCCTTTACCTGCTTGTGCTTACCACTTTATTTGGAAGGCATATCTAAGTGGTAACACAAAAGGATACGTACCGTCTGAGGGGCGATCATAAAATTCTGTTGACTGAAATTGAAATGATCAGGAAAAATTCCTAGATAAAGACCAAGCAGGTGATATATGTATGCACTATATAAGTTGACATGCAGTATACTGGTTTGAAACAAGAGGATGCAGTAAAGAGGCAAATACTGAGAGGTTAAATGAAACAATTAGTGTAAGAAAATCTTTTAACCTTTTTTACAATGTCATTCTCGCGAAAAAAAGATAAAAGAAAAAGTATAAGAAACTATATCACAGCATATTTAAATGTAAACATGGAAAATAGCATGCCACATGAACTTATTATATGAGGTCTTTGCACATGAATGCACTGTATCAGCAAAGGGCATACTTATCAATGGTCATTCAGAGCTTCTAAGTGCTTTAAACTTTCCTCGCCAAGTGCATGCGCTTAATTTAGCGTAAATAGTTCCCATTTATGCTTAAACCAAGAGAAAACCTATTTTCCTTGTTTTTTATTTTTCTAAAATTGCTTCCCATACTATTTTTTACTGATAACTTCTGTATCCCCTATTTTATTTTTGCAATGCGAAAACACTTGTTACGAAGAAACATCACATTTTACAACAGTTTCGCACTTATAGCTACTTAATATGGAAAGTAGAAAAATACGAGTTCTCTTGACCCTTTCCATACACACAGCAACAAAACCCAATATTGTTCTTAAGTAATGAGAAATGAAGCAAGTAGACGTTGGTAGCAGCGTAAAATTCTTAACTCAGAAAAACTTGTGAATGCTGAATTAGTACTGATGAAATAACAGCTTAAATTTTTCTGAGCAAGAATCAAAGTCATGATAGTACAAGTATAATTTCAGAATGTTACAGAACTTAATGGCATGAACAAATAAATCTACACAACCTGTTATCATTACAGCTTACTACAGGTTCATCCTGCAGTCAATTAAAAGAAGGCACATTACAAGCTGAGTCTATAGCCTGGGATAGAACACACACCTATGACACTTAACAAAGGTCTGTAAGGAAAGCTTTATGGCCATCGATAAGTTAAATGAGACATGGATGTCTGCAGTGATAACAAACAAACAGCAGCTCAATTATGGAGTGAAAAGAGTTATTTAAAAAGTACAAGCTAAGCGGAACTGTTTAAACAATCTTTTTAATTGCATTAAGTATAAAAAGATAGATCAAAGCATCCACATTATTGCATAACAAACTCACTTTAATGCACTGAAAATTTACTCTTAAATTCTGCTAATGCCAGAGGTTGATGTTGTTATAATTATTTAAAAGTCACTAAATCTAATGAAAAATTTAATGTGAACAACTTTTACACTTAAAAAAAACAAACACATCTTCAAAATCAAAAATGTGAATTAAATTACTTTTGATTTCAAAAACAAAAGATGTTTACTGTGTTTGCACAGGGTTATACAAACCGAGGAGACCTTTGAGAGAACTTGAGAGCTGATCACCGGCTTGAGAGCTCTCACAAACATCTCCGAGGTTTTCATAAGCCAGTGCAAACACAAAAAAATATCTTATTTCATTTATAAAATACGAATAATGTGAAAAAATAAAACGTTTTAATGTTCTTCTAACTTTTATTTATGATTGATTTGCAAATTCTCTTTGATTGATAGATCGATTTGATTGGTTGTGCTCAGATCGTTTTGCACAGGCTTATGCAAACACAGCTCAAGACCAATCAGCACACGCGTTTTATGGTGATTATTTTATAAATCAAGTTGAACATATTTTAATAATAAATCCATATAGACTGTGAAGATGACTACCGTTAAGTTTGTCGAAACGTGTCAGCATCAACACCAACAGTCCCTCTCAGGACTGTGCTAACCTGCACGATCCACATCTAAAAACATGTAAATTCCATCTATTTTGCTGCATAAATGCATAAATGAGTAAATTCAGCTCGGTTTTTATTTTTTGACAAACACAATGCTGTCTACTTTGCATAAAGCAGTTGAATTAAAAAAACAAGATTTTTGTATTTCTTTTGGGTCATTGGGTAAACTGCCAATTAATTAGTAGTTTATCCTAAATAGAAACCGACATATGTTCAATTTTGCTACATACACCTTTGCTCACACAATGTTGAAACAACATCAATCTCATAATAAAAGAATGATTTTCAAATTTTTCTTTATAATTCGACTGATTTGATGTATGTAGCTATAAATGCACGATGATTTTTTTCTGCAGGATTTCCCTTAGCCGAGGGGTTAGGGTTTGGGTCAAGTTCATTATGTATTGAAAAAGAAACAATTGTACAAACTATTGAGAATTAATATGCATTGTATATAATATCTTTAGATTACAACGTTTGGATCGACTAGAAAAAATAAAATTCTGGATCTTGCAACCACATTATGCAACGTACTTTGACGTATTCAGGATCGATTCCTGGTTACGTCACAGCTATCAAAATAGCTGCATCTGTTATTCTGTGTAAATTAATGATCTTTGTTTGTGACAAAAATGCTAATTTAACAGTCAAGTATCAAATAGATATTAGAATAGTGGTTAAATTGTTTTTGCGTTATCGTTCTCTGCAGAAATAAACACAAAATGTTCAACTTTTGCAAAAGCAACTCAAAAAACTAGAACATACAATTGGGAGTCCCAGGTTTGAAAATAAAACTGTCTATTTATTCTATTTCAAGGACTGTATTCGAATGACTTAAAGTCATTAGAAAAGTAAAAATCAAGGAATAATCATTATCAATGACAAATGCATTATTTTAATTTTTGAGGTACACTTGTCTATGGCAAGCCAAACTGGACAAAAGTATATTGAGAAGTGTAAGCGTAAGTCAAAAATTGAATACAAGACTTACGAGATATGTATGTTATACTCTAGCAAAGTGTAAGTGACAGTCGAGAAACATTCTCAACTGTCAGTTACACTTTGTTCGATTATAACATACTTGTATGATAACGCGTATATTGATGCAGTTCTCGACTTGCGCTTACACTTGTCGATGTACATTTTGATGCAGTTTGGCTTTCCATACTTGTAGTCTTTGTATATATTACACGCAAAATATCATTGAATCTTCAACCATCTATTACCATTTAGAGTTTGACGACAGCCTGGTTAATAGTTCTAAAAAATTACCTGTTAGGGGCTTGGGTTATGGTTTGGGATCAATCTCGCATATTTGTAGCACAAAAAATAATTACCTGCTATTGATTGATGAGTAGTGTTTTAAGCATGTTAACGTTCCAATGACGTTCGGTGAGCCTATGATAGGTTGCGTATTTTTCAATTAAATTCTCGAATTACGATATATTTATGCATTGACACAATTGCAGTGAAACTTCCCATTAAACCGAATTGCTTCCCATTGAGTTACATGTGAAAGAAACGTCGTGTATTTTGACAAGAATATTTGTTTGCAGTTCTAGCATTCAAACGGTCAGAAGAAAATATGAAGACCATGCTCATATTTGTTCTGTTGTTCTTTCTCCATTGTGCTGAGTGCCAACAGACTTTGAAGAATTCTCGAGGTTTGTTAAAGATTATAAAAAATAGCAGCTTGATTTCAGATGCAAATATGGCTTGCTAATTGAAGTGTATGTCGGCTTTATTGCGGGACTCGATTATTGTTTAATAGCTCCCCAGAATATAGTGATTCGTAAAGAATCGATTGATCACTACAAAAGATTTTCAACAGAAATAACAATAGCTTAAATTTGAGTTGCTTTGTAAGTGAATTTAAGTTCCATAACTTTATCAAGTAGGAGGCACGTATGTTTAACACAGTTCTGGTGGTAATGTGTGGTATTTATTTGAAAATTGTACAGTATTTGTGATTTTCAAGCATTGTATTGTTGATTTGAGTTTAAGAACACAAAAAAAAGAGGAAAAAAGGTATTAATTTTTGTTTGACATTGATAATAAGATATCAAGTTTTAAATTTTGCGCAAAGGTCGAAGGGTAATGTGAAACCGCAATTTTAAAGTGTTTTTACTACGAAGTTTAGCCTTACTTTTTTTATTGCATAATTTGAAGATTTGAACAATTTGAAGAACTATGACATGTTATGGACTTACGCAGACAAATACAAGTTGATTAATTTTGTAAAAAAATAGTAAAAGAGTTTGTATGCATTTCATTTACCAGAAGTTATGTCAACTGTTTTTGGGTAAAATTACGATTACGAACAACGTGGATGTGTCATTTCCTCAATCCGGAACAAAAGTCCTGAAATTGAGACCCCCCCTAAAATAGCAGTGTCGGCCTAGCTCTAACTTTAAGAAAAAAATAGGAATAAAATTTTTTGTAGTGTTTAAAATTTTTAAAAGGTTCACTTTTAGGGGTCGTCATTGGAGGAAAAATTTGGATAAGCTTATTTTTTACTGAGAAAATAACCGTACACCAGCTATTGTCAAATGCCAATTTGGGATAAATTATCAAATATTCTTAGCAGAGATCGAATTTTCCTATTTTCAAAGAAAAAATCATATAGGAAGAATAACCACGCACAACTCACTTTAATTATTTGTTGTCTCAAGCAGTTGACATTATTTTTCTGGTATACGATAGATTATATTTCCTATATCATTCTGATGAAGACTCGAAGCACCGAGTCAAAAGCTCACTAAAATAATTTAACAACAATCCGTGGAAACTTTCATTTTTATAAATTAAATGCCTGGATTACCAATTTTCAAGCCTAGATTATATTTCGTATACCTTGCTTCTAAACACCCCTTTCGTCATGTTTTACCGTCTTGTCTGCTTATTATAGCCGAATCTTAAAAGTTTTCTGCCCATCTTGTACAATTTCATGATTACTGATGACGAAATAATATTTCATCCCCAGTTTTGTCAATCTTAGACGCAGTGCAGAGTCCTGTTGTTTATCTTAGAAAAACGAATTATTATTATTATTATTAAAAAAAGGTATTTTGTACACGAACATTCTGTTAAATTTGGCGCCATTACGAACTGTCGTCGATTTTCTGCCTCCCGCTTTATGGACTTCATTTAAGAAATAAAAGATGTTTACTATGTATGCACTGGCTAATGCAAACCGAGGAGACCTTTGGGATAACTCGAGAGCAGATCAGTGCAAGCCCGAGTCAAAAGGTCGAGTCGCACCTGCTCGAGGTTGAACCTGCTCGAAAGTTCTCACAAAATGTATTTATTTTCCTCTAATATTCATGATCGATTTGCAAATTCTCTTTGGCAGATTGATTGTTATGATTAATTGAATTGGTTGTGCTCAGATGTGTTTAGCACAGGATAATGAAAACACAGCTCTAGGCGAATCAGCGTACGCGTTTCGTTTTGTTTATTTTCTTAAATATCTTGATTGCAGTATCGTAAATAAATGCATTGTATAATAGTAGCAATTGAAAAAATGAAAATATTAGCGTTATCCGTAAGGGAAAAACCTCTTATAGCACATTTAGGATCTAACTTCAAAACATAGCTCTAAAAATAACATTTAGATCACGTGCAAGCTTTCGTAAAATTATGTCGCATGCTTTTTGACTGGGGTAATGTATTTTCTGCAAGCGTTACTTCCATTGAGATTTATAACAACTGGAGAGGGGTATCCATTGAACTAAATACAACTGGAAGGCTATCTTCATATATGTATTGTTAACACATGAAACGAGGCAAAAATTTTCCGTGATCTAAGTTCAGCCTGGCGATGCGTGACTGTAACAAAATGAACAAGTATAAACAGCAGTAATAATAAACAGCATGCTTATAACGGGAATTTCGGCCAAGCTGCAAAATGGAAAATTATCGGATTATTTCAATATTGACGACTTCGGCTTTAAATTTCCTGGCTTTAAATTTCCTAAGTAGCCTTTGAGATATATTTAAACCCTGTTTACAGATATATTTATACCGGATCAGGGGCGGATCCAGCATTTTTTCTTGCTAGTTAAAATGGCAGGAGGCGTTCGCTGTCAAGGGGGCATCCAGTGGCATGCACCCCCTTGAAAAGGAGTTTGTTTAAAAAAAAAGCTTAAGACTATGGAACTTAAACCGTTTCGCTCAATATCAGAGCTCATCAGCATGCCTAGGATGCAGTTAATTAATGCACTTTATATACACTGCGGCATCCGACATAGACGGCCAGGTCTTTGCAAACCCAACCTTAAAAATTTCTTCATGATGAGCCACGATAATAAGCAGTTGTGAGCATGCTCATTATTACTGAAGGCACACCATCAAAGCACAAAACATGCCTTAAGTCCCAGGGGCGGATCTAGGATTTTTCAAGAATATCAAATTTAAATGTACAAATAATATGGAAGGCACACTTCTTACGAAGATGATTTCCGACACCCGAGGTTTATTTTTCGTATTGCGTGGATTCTGCGTGTATGTGAGCGATGAATATCGCTGCATATAATTTAAATAAAAACAACAGATAGACAAATGGTCGTGGTATTTTGAACAGACTATTGATCTAACCAAACTTAAAGGTAATTGCAGTATATTGTAGTATAATATATATTTATAATATTGACATGTTATTCGACACATTTGCATTCAAGTAAACAAAGACAAATTGTCTCCTGTGATGCTTAATCATTATTGTGATCAACTAAATGGAAATGTTTAGCAGTTTAGAAATTAAAAAATTTATACCCATACACATTTATTTAACTTTAAATGTGTTGAAACCTGAAAGCATAAAGCAAATTAAAGCACAATTTATTTTGAAATTATTTTGCCTACTGGTATTACATATGTAAGCTCTCCATCACTTGTTCTACAGTATAAACAAATCTAAATCAACTTATCAAGAAAGGTAAGATAACATTGAAAATTCTAGAAATTTTATTCTCCATTTCCCTGGTTTTTTGTTAGATGATGGTTTGATATCACTTTATGTACTAAATTTTTGACATATTTTTTATAGATTATAATCTTGCCAATTGTGTTTTATGCTTTGCATGTGCCAGTGGCAATTTGTTAACAACATATTCATGTAGTATAAAGGGAAAATCAGTAATAGTCATTTTACATTATATATGTAACATTTAAATGTTCAAGGTAACTAAGTAACTAAGGAAACTAATTACCATCTTAGATATATATTACATATTTGTAAAATAAAATCTACAAGTTTTTGCTGTCGCTATTTGTACATATTTGTATATATATCAAAAATGGAAAGTTGCTATTAGTCACCTTGAACATTGAAATATTGATAAAGTGGTTACTTTTTGTGTGCATGCACACATGAATGTACATGCACATATATATATAAGCGCGAAGCACCAAGTCGAAAGCTCAATAAATCATTAATAAAAATCCAGAAAAACTCTTACAATTGAATACAAAATATAACAATTCTTTCTATAGTTACAACTTTGAGTTTCCTCTAAAGCATTTTATTCTTTTGATTCATTATACGCGTTTTGGACACTTCCAAGTGACATTTGTCTTGTGGAAAACTGAATCTGGCATTGTTGGTGAACACTTTTTGTGGAACCACTCCAAGCATTTGTCACACTGAGTACACCATAGGTCAGGGTTTTCAAGATCTTTCTGGTTCCATGGCATTCGACAGTGGCACATCAGTGAAAATTTCAATTTTCTTTGGATTTGACTCTTGTCATCAATGTTCCTTTTCTTTGTCGAAGGGAAAGGAGTGAACTCATATTTTTTCAGACAACTCAACAAGTGTGATCGCATGGAACCTTCATTATACATCAAAGTTGTTGGATCTTGGTTAAAAAGTAATGACACAAGAAATGCAATTGCAAACACCCACAGTCAACGTAATTGGATTGATACTGGACATGTGGTATGTTGATTGTGATTGATGGTGATGGCTCATGGAGTAGGTTGGCAATTTGTTTTTTTGTTAAAGAACTGACTCTTCCATTGTACAAACTGTCATATAAATTGACTGAAGCAGGCTGACAGTCAATATTTGAAACCAATACCCAGTGATGAGTACCTGTGTGGAGAATCTGGAAAAAAGTACCCCGATGTACAAAAAAATTGGTGACAGGGCCAAGTGTTGTGTTTTCTAAACCAAGTACGACAGGAAATTGTTTCTGTAAACATTATGTGCAGCACCAATGATGTGATCTGTTAACTCTTTTCTGGTGATGATTATGTTCATGTCAATGTCACTAAGTTTAAAAAATCCACGCTTTGGGGTCTGAACGATCTTTTCCAATTTATCACCCGATTCTTTGTTCAAGGGCTCAATAGGTCTGTAATGGGAAGAGTTTATTTCATCTGTCACAATATTTGAATCATTTCGTCCAATCTTTGCTTGCTTTCCTTCAATTTCTGTTAATGTTGAAGCATAACTTCTTTTTAAAGTTGCTGCTTTTGCACCACTTCGACCTGACCAGGGATTTTTCTTTGCCGGTTTTGGGATGGGTTTAAACGGATTTACTAAACACTTGCTATTTTTGACGCGACATTTTGGGGCAGATTTCTTTGTATCTGGCACTTCCAACACTAAATCATTTTCCTTTGGAGAAACATCAGTCAGTATTTTATAACATTCATCCAATTTGACCTTTACTTCATGCAAAACATTGCCATTTCCCCATCCCTCAGCAACATAAGTTAAATTCTTTATTTGTCCCAACCGTTCTCTGCACCTTGCGGCTTCTGTTCTAGGTGAAGATGGCTTTCGTTTTAGCTCAGCTACAATGGTGGGGAAAATGTTCTTGTCCTTAGTTACGTGGATTTCGTTTTCCTCTGGTGCTTCGACGGTTTGTGAAGAATCATCGGAGTGACATTGGCTTACCTCAAATGTCTTTGTTTCCATTACTGACGTGCAACCTATTCGATCAACTGTTAAAAATGGAGATTCCGTGCACGACTTCGGTAGTTTATCGAATGACCAAAATGGAAAGTTCTTGAAAATCGCAAAGAAGTGCTTACATGGCAACCTGTGTCTTTCCCAGTCATAACAATCACAGCTTGGAAGATCACCTGGATCACTTCCAAACGACAATGTATAAAACTTGCATATGTCGTCTTGACTACGAACTTTGAAAATTCCATGCACTTCGTCAACAACCATGATGTGTGATGCAAGGGTATCTTTTGACGATGCAAGTCTTTCCATACAATGCCTAATCATAGAGTGTGGTCTTTCGTGAAGGTATGACGGGACATTATAATTGTACTGCCTGTAATTGCTCTGCAATTTCGTATTTAATTCGACGTATCTGTAAAATTAGACAAGAATTTCCAACGTTGTTGCTGCTAAAATACTAGCGCTAACAGCAGCAGCGAATTCCCCAGCCCGGTTTTTGTACCTCTACAAATCATATATTTTTGTGTTTAATCAATGGAAAGACAATGAATGGAATCGAATTTCTAAAGAAATGAACAATAATTTTGCTGAGAAATCTGATTTGTTGGAGGAAAAGATCGGGCTGGCTTCGCCTCTTATTTACAAGAAACTTGTTCAAGTAAATAAAAAAAAATAAGTACTTGAAGTAAAGGTCGGGCAAAAAGTCTTCAATTAGCACTGTCAGCATGACGCTCAACGTTGAATTCTTGTAACCATCCAAATATTCATGCTTGAAAGCTTTGTTTTGCCTTTCCACGCCATTATTTGTGTTTATGACTGTTAGCAGTCGATCTTTTCGAAAGGTCCACACCCATTTCTATAAATTTTGTCCGCGCGAGAAAATTAACGGAATCAACATGTATTGTAATTATTGATGAGCAATGTAAGAATGATATTATTAGCAAATTATAAAATTCTCTTGCCTTGTATTGGGATAACCATGTATTGCCAATCCAGTTGCGCAGTTTTGGGTTTGTCTTCCATTCTTCTGATGACTTAAAATTTTTAACATTTTCCTCGTAATCAGCCTCCGTCCTCGCTCGGGCAATTAATCGAAGTTTTGCAAGAGTCATATTTTTAACGGGAGCAGTCCGTTGCTGCTTTTTGAAAGCCATCGCTCCCACGCTTGCTCTCGATGGAAATCGCAGATGTACGTCTGACATTCTGTAATATATAAGTACAATTAACATGAAGTGTATTGACTAGATTGTATCTTTTACTCCACCCCACAAAAAAAGAAATTTGCATATTTCTGCCTCAATTAAAAACAAAAGACGTGTGTAGCATTGTGTGTGCCTTTGAAAGTAGTTTAGTTCTAGGTTTCTTGACTAACCTGGGAATACTCGGTTTATCACCGACATTTCCTCTTCAGAGTAATCTACCATGAAATACGCTGGATTCCACTCGTTGTTCCAACCTCTTATAACTTGAAGAGCCTCCGCAATAGCGTACGATGTTTCACTTTGCAGGACAAAAGAACCAACCACTTGATAGCTTACATTGGTTTCTACCACAAGAAAAAACAAAGCGAGGCTGTATTTTGTCGTTTTGTAAGTGGCATCTAGAAGGGTAAGTTCGTTACCATATCTCTTTAGAAGACGTTTCTGATTAACAGTCTGGTGAATGAATAACAATCCATTTTTTGACTCTGGCAAAACTGTGTTGTCATCATCATCGTCATCGTCGTCTTTTTCGTTATCAACACTATTTTCTTGAGTAATCAAAGACTCTGCTGAATATTTAGCAAGCGGGCGAAAGAAGAAAGACTCGTCGGGACACCTCAGTTTCCAGTCTTCGATTTTCTTTTGAAGATTTTCTTGGTCAAATTTTGAAAATCTTTCTTTGATGACTGCCTTGTAAATGTGGCTGCGTATAGTTTGTTTGGAAGGATAAAATCTCCGATTGGTTTTAGCGGGTGCCTTTGTTGCTTTGTACAGGTCTTGCTCCACGTAGATTTTAAGATGCCTCCTAACTTCTTTAACTGAGCAAGCCCCAGCAACAACCAATTCTTGGATCTTGGAGACAAGCATCTTATCAATTCCTTGATGAAGACCTCCAGCCTACATATAAAGGAGCCGATTATAAAACGTAAGGTTTAAAAACAATATAGCAAGACATTGACTTGCACCGTACGACAACTAGGACTAAATATATCCTTACGCTTCCTATAGGGTGAGTTTTGTGCTCAGATAGGCAAGGCAACTGGATATCGATCCACCTTTCTCCATTGGCATTTCCACCTTTTTGTAAGCATTCCCTAAGTTTTTTCGACATCGATTTTTGTCGCCAAACCGTTTGCTCTTTAATCTAAAGGCGCGTAAATTTATCAAAAAACCTGTGTGAGTAAAGTTTCAAGGCAAATTGATTTGGACACCTCGAGACATTTTTGTTGTTTACACCTGACAGATCGAGTAATGCATACGAATAATCGCTGTTATTTAAAATTACCCTAAAGTCTGGAAATCTGATGTATTCTCTCATGTGAACTTGTGCTGAACAGTTCAATTTTCTTGTTCCTTGAACCATGTTTCTGTGCTTCTTAAACGAGTGGTCGCTAGAATTTGACTAAAATATATAAACATGTTGGTAAATAATTACACCTAAAAGGAAAGGTAGCTGAAGAAATTCATGAAGAAGAAAGAAACCAAGATTACATGACAATGTTAAAATACAATAAAACTCAAAGTTTCCTTCAAAGCTCTTCACACTTGAAGTTTAATTGCAACGTACTATAAGGTTGGCAACGTCGTTTCACTTTTATTTACTTTTATTAAATCTGTAGTATTGCATTAGCAGATGAATAATATCTATTACCGTTCTGTTTTTCTTCTTTTGGCTTGAATACCTATCTACCCCATGACGACAATCGTAGACCCTATGGTTCACTTGAACGAACGGTATATTGTCAAATGGAAGCTGGCCATCTTCCCACCAAACCTTGTGATTGGCACTTGTGAGATTTAACTTTTTTTCGATTAAAAATAGAATAAGTGATTTCATTTAGTTCAAATTGAACCATTATATTCAACATTGCTGTGTGATTTACGTGGTTGTATTCTGTACACATTAAACGAAACCCTTTTTAACAAAAAACTGTGCTTTGCCTCTTGCCCTTTTTTAGACTAAAGTACTACCTATGAGTTGGTTTTCACCTTTTTTGCGATGAGTGTAGTTTCCCTATTCCTTGCTCGTTCGACACACAACGACAGACTGAGGATAGTAAGACTCAAATGTGCATGGACATTATTATAGTACTTCTTATATTAAAGAATATGACAACATTCAGGTTTCATATAACAATTTGATCTGGACAACAGAAATAAGGAAAGCGTATAGATTAATATAGATTAGTTATATTTTGAGAAAAAAAAATACAAACCTGTGTTCCCAAATCCTTTTTTTTCTTCATTTCCACAAAAATTAGTTGTGCTTGCCAACTCGTACTCTCTAAGGAGACTTTCTGCTTCCTCTACATTTTGCACAAGTCCAGAGCGTTCAGACAGTTTGATTTTAAATAAAGAAGTCGCTGCTGAAATGTCAATACTTTCCATATGTATAAAAATATGTGCTTGTTCTTATAAGAACAGTTTACCAGCGGAAACATAAACAGAAATTTAACTTCGTTTGTATTGTGTGGTGATGTACAATATGCAGAGACTGTTTACTATTTCAAATTATTTCCATTTTCCCGCGATAAGTTTTAAATTGCCGCGAATTAAGGCTTTACACGCAAATTTATCACGCAGAATCCACGCAATACGAAAAATAAGCCTCGGGCATAGAATAGAAAATATATAGAAGGGCAACTCGCAGGTGAAAAGCGTGGCATATTTCTGTGCGCATGCGTTAGGTCCGCCATTACTCTGGCCAGTAACTTGACGCTGGCGTACTATAAAATAATATTGGAAAAGTGCGATTTTGGGATAATAATCGCCTAAAACGCAAACTGTTTTGGAAGATCATGGAATTTTGTGACAAAACGTGAAAGAAATAAGGTGAGAGACCATTATTTAATTGCATGTTTCAATGTGGGGTGTTTATTTTACTGCTATAGAGTTGTCAGTATGTTAGGTGATTAGAAGTCCAGAAGTAAAATCTCTTGCGTTTTCGTCCATTCTGAATTATAAATTTCAAACTTTTGAGGTGTTATTATAAATGTATTATTTAAAACACAAACTTGTCAGAGTTTTACTTGTACCAACGCTGTAATATTTCAGGTTGCAACTTGCCAACTTGCTAAACTATAAATCAAGTTAATCAACCAGCTAACCAAGTAATCCAATAATGATTCATGATGCTTGTGTGTGAATTATAACTGATAATAATTTGCAACATTCAGTTTCAAACCATGGAGGGTTTGTTTATCATTTTAAGCATGAGTGAAATGTTAATATGTTAATAGTTGGGCATTTTTAATACCAAATGTAGTTTTAGTGAGGTATACACTCTGTTTGCCTTATTTATAAATTTTGCCTTGCTGTGATTTGTGCTCTATTAAATTTATTACCAATAGTTATGATTGATTTTCTGATATTTTTTTCTAGTTGTTATTTTGGCATTCAGTTCTAAAGTGAGGATTATGTTGCAAGTGTCTTGTGTTATGTAGTTTTAGTATGTTGGATTAGATTTTAGTGGCTACTTGTTGCAGTAGCATGTTAAACTTTGTTTATTAAATTCTATTACGTTTTTATTATGATTGGGTGGTTTTTCTAAGGGTGCTCTATTAAACATTGATCACAATTTCTTCAGCTTAATTGTTTAGTATACCAATATTTATAGAGAAATTAGCATTTCTTCTGCACCCCCATCTAGCTTAAGCTAGGAGGGCTGCACACCCCTCTCTTATACCCATCTCTGAATAAAGTTGTCATTAAATTTTTAAATGTAATTATGTGTACTGAATTGCTGTATTTTTTTCTGTATATTCTATTGCATGAAATGCACACATTCTAAATTTAAATTGTTTTGTGTTAAATATTTTTGTGCAGCATGTAAATCTTTAATGACAAAGACATGTTTTTAGCCTTGTAACCACTAAGAAAATATAATATTTATTATATTGCTGTTATTTTGTACATATTTTTCACTCAGAAATGTCTTTATCAAAATAAGTTTCCAATGTTATTCAATTCTCAAATTGCTCAAACCATTGTATATTGGGTTTGCTGTGTATCTTTCTCAGGTGTGTGTCTCTACTGCAACTTTTTGATTCGAGATTATAAAGTTGTACATTTTCCATTTTTGGTACTATTCGTCACCAGGGAGGCAATAGTGACAACCCCACTCCAACCCAATTTATGCAAGCATTTAGAAAGCTTTTCTTCAGTTCCCTTTTAACCTGTTCATCTGGAAATTGTGACAACGACCTTGATTCTATGCTGGTTGAGTATTCCAAAAATGTTGCAAAGAATTAAGTCAGCAAGAAGAAAACGGTTCAAGTCTTTCCACCTCCGCACAACAAATTTTAGCAATTGGTCCTACTGACTACAAGGAGCCAAATTTTGTTACTAAATGAGGGAAAATGCCATTGCATATGTGTCTGGTTTTCTTCTAATGAAGAGTTTCAAACTCCACTCTTGTCTGAAATGCACCAATGCTCTTTCATCTACAGAGCTGGATGATAGCAGAAAGTTATTCTGCCACCTTAAAGCATTCGATGAAAAGAAATCTGATTGAGGAGGACTACAATCACCATCTTATCCTTATCTGGAATACATCATCAAACTTGAAGACACATTTATTAAGACGTTTTCTGTCTACACAAAGAGCGAAGGTGTTGGTCGAAGTATATTAGACACCGTCAATTCCATACCAAAGGAATTTGATTGCTGTGCGGAATTCCCATTTGAGTTCTTGCAGAAACTTTTTGTAAGAATGCGCATTTATTACGCCATAAAATTTGCGAACCGCATATTCGCAACAACTAAAAAGAATGACAGAAATTACATTAAAGTCACACACTTTTGAGGGCTTTGTGCATATAATTTTTTGTCCTTTATAAAACTAAATTGAAAACAAAAGCTTTTTATATCACAATAATATATTTAACATGTAATACATCCAAGTTCATTCAAGTCCTCAGGACTTGTGAACCTCAGAACCTGTTCAAGCTTTCCGACTGAGTTTCGCTAATAAATATATTAAATAAATGCATTTGTTACATGATATATACAAAATACTTGCCTTTTTATTTCAATTTCTTTCAAAAAGATGCCAAAAACAGCCAACAGCTCAAAAAATCTACATTTTAACCCACTTTACGGCTTCCACTCCGTATATTTTCATAGTAAATGTTGTACACTTTACTGGCCAGAGTAATGGCGGCCGTCACATTTCCGGTATGCGCGAAGCAAACTGCGCGCCACGCTTACATCAAAGGTTACCGACGCGAGTTGCCCTTCTATATATTCTCTATTCTATGCCTCGGGTGTCGGAAATCATCTTCATAAGAAGCTTCCGAATGCGCCTACTTTTGCTAGATGTCCGAGTGTGCCTTCCATATTATTTGTACATTTAAATTTGATATTTTTGAAAAATCCTAGATCCGCCCCTGGGACTTAAGGCATGTTTTGTGCTTTGATGGTGTGCCTTCAGTAATAATGAGCATGCTCACAACTGCTTATTATCGTGGCTCATCATGAAGAAATTTTTAAGGTTGGGTTTGCAAAGACCTGGCCGTCTATGTCGGATGCCGCAGTGTATATAAAGTGCATTAATTAACTGCATCCTAGGCATGCTGATGAGCTCTGATATTGAGCGAAACGGTATACGAAATACGAAAAATAAGCCTCGGGTGTCGGAAATCATCTTCGTAAGAAGTTTCCGAATGCGCCTACTTTTGCTAGATATCCGAGTGTGTCTTCCAAATAATATGGGGCAAGATTTTCTGAATGCTCTGAACGAATTTTTTCGTCTACTTGTTGCGTAGAGAAGAATTTGATCAATTCGTCTATTTTGATTTAGCGCACGCAACATATATACAGGGGCGGATCTAGGATTTTTCAAACATCAGTCATAAAACGTCGGAGGCGCTCCGCACCTGGGGGGCGGGGTCTAAGGCATTCTCCCCTGAGAAATTTTGAATTTCAGAGCCTTGAAAATGCCATTTTCAGCGTTTTAGAGCAATACAAAATGTATTTTGTGGGCATCGTTTTGCGTAAAAACAACACATTTTGCTTACGTTTTTTTAAAAAAAAATAATGAAGTGAACAATACTTGAATGTTTTGCCAAATATTTAGGCTCATTATCATGCCAAATATATGGCTCATTAGCATGTCTAGGAACGTAAAATTTATTTTACAATAATGCTATTCAAAAACAGACATATTCTTTAAAAATTTCTACAAAGTTGTCAGACATAGACACCCCTAGAGACCCCCATTCAAACCTCTATGTAATGAGTTAAGTTAGAAATTTGGTACTACAAGCGACAGTTCATAGATATAGAAAAGCTCAGACTTCAAACCATGCAAGTTTATTGTAACCCTTTACCCATCTCCGCATCAGTGCCAGCAAACTCACTTTTTGAGAAAAAACTCAAAATTTTTTTCTGCCAAAGATTAAGCAAAAATTATCAGACTGAAAATTTGCAGTTAAGGACAGCTTAATGCCATAAATGTTTATTAGGCATTTCACTAGACTATTATCTTCTGTAAGTATATGCAAGGTGTGCTATATAGCAATCACTGGTAGCATTGTATTTGCAATACAAACAGAATGTAACCAACATGTCTTTAATTATATAATTACATGAATGTTAAAATTGGTTCATGTCTCATGCTTACTGGTTATGATAAATATCTTTTCAGATGATCAAAGCTTGTTTAAATGTAAATCTGAAATAATTTAGTTTAGAAATTACAATGATCATCAGAAAAATTACCTAGTGATCATGAAAAATACTTTGCTGTTTTGCCAAATTTCAAGGTTTATCTGCATACATAGAAAGACATTTTTACTTTATAGAAAATGCTTTGCATACGCCTTTATTTATGTCAATAGCCTTTATGGAATTTATGGAATTTATGGCAAAAAATCTGGTATGAGCCGTAGATTAACACACCTTTACATCTCTACATGAGGTGTTCAGTTAGAAAAGGCGACAAAATGTGACATGGGACAACATTTCATGTATGTGAAATACTCAGGTTTAATACCATTCCTGTCAAATTGTCAAAATAAAAAGCTTCATGGATCAGAAGACTCAATATCACAGGTTATAGTAAACAGCTTCTCATGTAATTAATGTTAGTTTCCTTAAATCTTAAACAATATGTAGTATAACTGTCCAATGATTGAATGATCAATGATCATAAACTGAAAAGTCCCAAACATTTGTTTATGATAAAGTAAATAATAGTATGGCGCCTTATGGCTACAGATTTTTTGTCCATTGAAATATATTTTCAGGAATGTAGGTATTCGCTGCCATATAACGGTCACGATTCCCCAAGCACTAAAGAAATCATAGCTAAAAGTCCTTCGGCGGCAACAATTTTAGAAGCATCAATCTGCTTACCATACGCCATATTAACAAAAATCGCATCACACACTCGCATAAATTGACTTTGATATATTACATTCATGCATACACTTCACTAAAGATTTCCATAAATTCCATCTGATTGTAGTTTAGTTTCTATCATGCTTATAAAAATTACTATGAAACGATCGAACATTCAATTCAGACAGTGAGCTTGACTATGTTAGTTCAGTTGGCTATCAGTCGAAATCCGTCAAACCAATCACAATAAAACAAAAATTCAAATGAACCAATTGTAAGATAGCAATTGGACTCCCTTATACGTCCGGCCACCCCTATTATCAGTCGAGACCATTCCAGACTGTCCACTGATCTGGCCATTGACCAATAAAATAAGCGTTTTGGCGTTCATAGACTGCTTTATCCGTAGAACCAGTCAAGGCACCCCGCTTAACAGTCGGTTATTCCAGTTCAATTAAAATTCAACTGATCTGGTTACCAACGAGATATTCATTGGATTAGTCATTAGTTTTCAATAATAAATAAAGCTGGATTTTTATCATGAAGTAAATGCGATAATAAAGTAAGAATAATTAATGAACTTTTAATTAATATGAATATGTAATTTTTGAATTTCAAACATCAGTCGCGCGACGGATTTGACATACTCTAGATCCGCCCCTGTTAACTCCATGACAAACGCGGAATGAAGTACACAGATCTTGCAACAATAGAAGCAAAAACAATCTACATCTTTAAGGAAAACAAAGTATAGGTTTTTCAGTACAATACTTCATATGAAATAAACTTTAAAATAGAAAACGCTTATGCTGGTTGAAGCATCTGATGTAGTAATTTCTTTTCAAGCAAGATGTACATTGTTAGAAGTTGTAAGTAAATAAATTGTATAAAGGCACTAAAAACAATTTTTAAATTTCACGAGGATAGCTTTTAAACTACAAAATAACCAATTGTATCCATAATGAAAATTCATGAGAGCGAACTGTTAACAACGCCCACATCCTTTGCGGTATAATACATTTTCTAGCAAAAAAGCAAGGCTCACTGCTTTGCACAACTTTAATAGTAATAGCAAATTAGCAATGAACTGAATAAAGCAACAATGATTAAATTCATTCATGGTGCACTTTCTGCCAAAATGTGTAAACAAAGTTTACTGCTTGAATAACGTCGATAAAAACATCAT